TAGATATTATATTCCCCAAACTCCACCAGTGTTCACGTTTGGGCATATTGAGTATTCATGTCAAGTTTGGTCCAGATCTATCATTGTTTGAGTCCACAGATCTCTCTGGATGTAGGTGAACTACAATTCTCAAACTCAAGGTGAATGCCCACCAAACCCTTCTAGTGTTATCTGTTGATCATTTATTTATTATTTATTTATTTACTGTACTTGTATACCGCTGTTTCTCAGCCTAGCTGGCGACTCAACGCGGTTTACAACAAAATACCAAATACAATAGTCAACAGTATACAATTTAAAACCATAAAAACATAATACACAATATTGGTACATCAATAACAATCCAATGCATCTCCTGACTAAAATCGTGATCCAGTTTCGTTGTCCATATTACCAATCCTTTAATCATCACATTCATTGCACCGAATTAACCAAATGCCTGTCCGAACATCCAGGTTTTTAATCTTCTTCGGAACACCATCAGCGAGGGGGCTGATCTTACCTCCATGGGAAGGGCGTTCCATAGCCGAGGGGCCACCACAGAAAAGGCCCTGTCTCTCGTCCCCGCCAGCCGCACCTGTGAAGCAGGCGGGATAGAGAGCAGGGCCTCCCCAGAAGATCTTAGGGTCCTGGTGGGCTGATAGGCCGAGATACGTTCGGATAGGTAGGTTGGGCCAGAACCGTTTAGGGCTTTAAAGGCCAATGCCAGCACTTTGAATTGAGCCCGGTAGCAAATCGGCAGCCAGTGGAGCTGGTGCAGCAGAGGAGTTGTATGCTCCCTGCGCTCCGCTCCTGTTAGTATCATGGCTGCCGAACGTTGGACTAATTGGAGCTTCCGAGCCGTCTTCAAAGGCAATCCCACGTAGAGAGCGTTGCAGTAGTCTAAACGGGATGTAACCAGAGCGTGGACTACCGTGGCCAAGTCAGACTTCCCAAGGTACGGGCGCAGTTGGCGCACGAGTTTTAACTGTGCGAATGCTCCCCTGGTCACCGCCGAAACCTGGGGTTCCAGGCTCAGCGATGAGTCCAGGATCACACCCAAACTGCGAACCTGCGTCTTCAGGGGGAGTGTGACCCCGTCCAACACAGGCTGTAACCCTATACCCTGTTCGGCCTTGCGACTAACCAGGAGTACCTCTGTCTTGTCTGGATTCAATTTCAATTTGTTCGCCCTCATCCAGACCGTCACAGCGGCCAAGCACCGGTTCAGGACCTCGACAGCCTCCTTAGTAGCAGGTGGAAAGGAGTGACAGAGTTGGACATCATCCGCGTACAGATGACATCGCACTCCGAAACTCCGGATGATCTCACCCAGCGGCTTCATGTAGATGTTAAACAACATGGGAGACAATATTGAACCCTGAGGAACCCCACAAGACAAAGGTTGTGGGGTTGAACAGGAGTCTCCCAGTAACACCTTCTGAGACCGACCCTCAAGGAATGAGCGGAGCCACTGTAAAACAGTGCCTCCAAGACCCATCCCCGCGAGGCATGGGAGTTCTGTGTGCCAAGTTTGGTTCAATTCCATCGTTGGTGGAGTTCGGAATGCTCTTTGATTGTAGGTGAACTATAAATCCCAGCAAATACAACTCCCAAATGACAAAATCAATCCCCCCCAACTCCACCAGTATTCAAATTTTAGCATACTCTACTGCAGTGTTTCTCAACCTGGGGGTCGGGACCCCTGGAGGGGTCACAAGGGGGTATCAGAGGGGTCACCAAAGACCATCAGAAAAAAGTATTTTTTTGTTGGTCATGGGGTTTCTGTGTGGGAAGTTTGGCCCAATTCTATCGTTGGTAGGGTTCAGAATGCTCTTTGATTGTAGGTGAACTATAAATCTCAGCAACTACAGCTCTGAAATGTCAAGGTCTATTTTCCCTAAATTCCACCAGTGTGAACATTTGGGCATATTGAGTATTTGTGCTAGGTTTGGTCCAGAGCTATCATTGTTGAAGTCCATAGTGATCTCTAGATGTAGGTGAACTATAACTCCCAAACTCAGGGTCAATGCTCACCAAACCCTTCCAGTATTTTATGTTGGTCATGGGAGTTCTGTGTGCCAAGTTTGGTTCAATTCCATTGTTGGTGCGGTTCAGAATGCTCTTTGATTGTAGATGAACTATAAATCCTTGCAACTACAACTCTCAAATGACAAAATCAATCCACACCCAACCCTACCAGTATTCAAATTTGGGTGCATTGGGTATTTGTGCCAGATTTCATCCAGTGAATGAAATTACATCCTGCATATCAGATATTTACATTATGATTCATAAGAGTAGTAACATTACAATTATGAAGTAGCAATGAAAATAATTTCATGGTTGGGGGTCACCGCAACATGAAGCACTGTATTAAGGGGTCGCGGCATTAGGAAGGTTGAGAACCACTGCTCTACTGGGTATAAATTTGGACATATCGAGTATTTGTGCCAAATTTGGTCCAGTGAATGAAAATACATCCTGCATATCTGATATATACATTACAATTCATAACAGTAGCAAAATTTCAGTTATGAAGTAGCAACGAAAATAATGTTATGGTTGGGGGTCACCACAAGATGAGAAAAGGATTGTGGCATCAGGGAGGTTGAGAAACACTGTTGTAAGATTCCAAAGAGAGAGAGATACTCCAATCACTACATCTCTCCTGACACACAAGAGGAAACTACCCTAAAATATATAGCAGAGCATCCAAAAACAAACAGGATACTAAAAGTTTGAGCATCAGCTCACAGCACGCAAAGCATGAAGTGCTGTGTCATGTGGCTATAAAGAATAAAGACCATAGGCACACAAAGACACAACAAGTTTATTTACAATAATAAAGAAATAAGTACATTCCTTCATAGTAAATAGTGGGGTCTGAACTACTCTAACATCCATCTCTTCTAAGGTTTCAAAGAGAGGGGAAAACACCAGTCTCTGCCTCTTTCCTGACACACAAGCAGAGAGAGATCTCAAAGCATACCAGTATAAAAAAACTCTAAAATTACAACAGCACAACAACAGAGAGGAAACAAACAAGGACATCTAATCACCTCTCAACAAAAGATTGCTCCAGGCACTGTCAGGCCATTATATGCTAATCAAGGTGGTCAGTTGAAACATTCACACCTAGCTCCAGCAGACAAGAGTCCTTTGTCCCACCCTGGTCATTCCACAGATATAGAAACCCTTTTCCTAGTTCCAACAGACCTCACTACCTCTGAGGATGCTTGCCATAGATGCAGGCGAAACGTCAAGAGAGAATGCTCTTATTTATTTATTTGTCATGTCAGGGCAACCAGTCAATTATATTACATTTCTAACAGAACAAAGCAAACAAACAGACAAAATACAAAATTTGTGAGTTTGGTAGTTGATTAAATGTCCTTTGACCAGTATCTGGCCACTTGGAGTGCCTCTGGTGTTGCCGCAAGGAGGTCCTCCATTGTGCATGTGGCAGGGCTCAAGGTGCATTGCAGCAGGTGGTCAGTGGTTTGCTCCTCTCCACACTCGCATGTCGAGGATTCCACTTCGTGGCCCCATTTCTGAAAGTTGGCTCTGCATCTCATGGTGCCACAACACAGTCTGTTCAGCGCCTTCCATGGCGCCCAGTCCTCTGTGTGCCCAGGAGGGAGTCTCTCATTTGGTATCAGCCATTGGTTGAGGTTCTGGGTTTGAGCCTGCCACTTTTGGACTCTCGCTTGCTGAGGTGTTCCAGCGAGTGTCTCTGTAGATCTTAGAAAACTATTTCATGATTTAAGTCGTTGACGTGCTGGCTGATACCCAAACAAGGGATGAGCTGGAGATGTCTCTGCCTTGGTCCTTTCACTATTGGCTGCTACTTCCCGGCGGATGTCAGGTGGTGCAATACCGGCTAAACAGTGTAATTTCTCCAGTGGTGTAGGGCGCAGACACCCCTGATAATGCGGCATGTCTCATTAAGAGCCACATCCACCTTCTTAACATGTCTGCTACAAAACAGGAGCTTTTTTGTTGAGTTCCATGGCCAGAGAAGCAGATGGCGGAAACAGAAGAACGGCCTGCCTCAGGGGAGCGTGCTTGCTCCATCCATGTTCAACATCTACACAAATGACCAGCCACTGCCAGAAGGGACAGAGAGCTTCATCTATGCTGATGATCGTGCCATCACACTCAAGCAGGGAGCTTTGAGATGGTTGAACAGAAGCTCTCCGAAGTTCTAGGTGCTCTTACTGCCTATTACAGGGAAAACCAGCTGATCCCTAACCCATCTAAAACACAGACATGTGCCTTCCATCTCAAGAACAGACAAGCATTCCGAGCTCTGAGGATCACCTGGGAAGGAATCCCACTGGAGCATTGCAGCGCACCCAAATACCTGGGAGTCACTCTGGACCGTGCTCTGACCTACAAGAAGCACTGCCTGAACATCAAGCAAAAAGTGGGTGCTAGAAACAATATCATACGAAAGCTGACTGGCACAACCTGGGGATCACAACCAGACACAGTGAAGACATCTGCCCTTGCGCTGTGCTACTCTGCTGCTGAGTACGCATGCCCAGTGTGGAGCACATCTCACCACACTAAAACAGTGGATGTGGCTCTTAATGAGTATGCCTCTAGACCACGGCCATATAGCCCAAAAGACCTACAACAACCCAGTGATTCCGGCCATGAAAGTCTCAAAGCACACAGCACATACTCTCCATACTAAAGTGTAAGAAGGCAGAAGTCAGATTCAAAAAGCTTGCAGTAGAAAAGTATCAATTTTAAACAATCAGAATGAGAACAGAGAGAGAGAAGAAAAGGGGAAGGGTCTGAAGCTGTTAAGAATGATGGGAGTTGGAGTCCAAAACACTTGGAAGGCCCTTGTTTAGATGCACTCCCAAGCTTGGGAAAGGAAAACATGGGCACTGCATCCGGTATCCTTTGAGTGTGTGTTCATTTCCTGCTTGTAGTTTTGCGACTAAACCGCGTTAAATCCCCAATGTAGACCCCCTTCCACACTCCCTCCTGGCTTTTCCCTTCCTTACCTTCCCTGGCTTTCAGCAAAACCGTGTTGGCCACAATGTTCTCCAGCTCCATAATGCTCCAGCTTGGATCCACAGGAAGGAAAGCGGGAATATATATATATAGGAGTTTTTTCCCCCTTTTTCCAAGGCTTATTCAATTGGGGAAAACAAAAGAGGCTCCTTTCCACAGCGACACGAGTGGGTGGGGAGGCCGTGGGAGAAGAAAAGAGAGATCCATCCTTCCGAAGGGGTTCCAACCCCACTTAGTGCCCACTCTGGAACACATGCTCCCACGCGGGACCAGCTCCCACGCAGGACGAGCTCCCACGCAAAGGGTGAAAGCAGCAGCCAGGCTCAGGGCTGCCCACGTGCCCGCATCCCCGCAAGGCAAACGCTGGAGGAAAGGCAGAAAAACCCTTTCCACGCAGGAGACGCGAACACGCGTGGATTCCCCCCTCCCTCCCTCCGCCCCCACCAGCCAGGGCTGAGTCCCCAACGTTCCATCGGGGCGGAGCCTCCCGCTGCGTGACGTCACCGCCTCCCCCCTCCCTTCCTTTTCCCAGGGAGGCGGGGACACGCGTGGCAACCTTCCAGGAGTTATGTAATCTCCCTTGCCTGCTTTTGCAAGGCATGCTGGGAAATGTAGTTTGCTGCAATCAGGACTGAGACCAAAGCAGAACAGTGTGGGACTAGAACTTCCACCAATCTGTAGACAGTGACAATATTCCCAGCTCAAGAAGGGAAATGTCATGTTGGTGAGCAGACAAAGAGACTGAAAGAACCTTAAAAACTGTGGCATAGACACCAAGAATTAGGAAGCCCTGACTCTTGAGTGTTCTAACTAGAAGTCAGCTGTGACCAGCAGTGCTGCAGAATTCCAAGAGGCACACATGGAGGGCAAAAGGGAGAAACGTGCCAAGAGGAAATATGTGTATATTTGTGTGTGTTTGTGCATATATATACGTGTATGTGAATGAATCTATGCATATGTATATGAGTCTATGTGTATATGTATATAGGGTGTATCTTTTGGGATTTTAAGTCTTCCGCTGGGGTTGTGTGTGCGCGCGTGTGTTTATGGGTGATGGACACTTGTTGGACTGTTAGGTGTATTGTGTCCAAATTTTGTGTCAATTGTCTAGTGGTTTTTGAGTTCTGTTAATCCCACAAACAAACATTACATTGTATTGTTGAAGGCTTTCATGGCCGGAATCACTGGGTTGTAGGTTTTTTGGGTTATATGGCCATGTTCTAGAGGCATTCTCTCCTGACGTTTTGCCTGCATCTATGGCAAGCATCCTCGGAGGTAGTGAGGTCTGTTGGAAGTAGGAAAATGGGTTTATATATCTGTGGAATGACCAGGGTGGGACAAAGGACTCTTGTCTGCTGGAGCTAGGTGTGAATGTTTCAACTGACCACCTTCATTAGCATTTAATGGCTTGGAAGTGCCTGGGGGGAAACTTTTGTTGAGAGGTGATTAGCTGTCCCTGATTGTTTCCTCTCTGTTGTTTTGCTGTTGTAATTTTAGAGTTTTTTTAATGCTGGTAACCAGATTTTCTTCATTTTCATGGTTTCTTCCTTTCTGTTGAAATTGTCCACATGCTCGTGTGTTTCAAT